TATTTAACATATTTGTAATTATATAAAGCAAAGTTACACTGCTTTAAAATTATATTATTCCCCAGTTGTAGCTCGGGACGCAGATGTTTTACGTTTTATTGCCGCTAGAGGGAGTATTCCGAACCTTACGTTTTACATGTTAAGGAAAGGTATTTACTATAAACATTATGAAGTCAGTTTTAGGGAAAGGGTCTAAGGGTTTCTCTTAAAACTCACATTAGTTTTAAGTTATGGTTTTTGTTATAAAGGCTTGTATTGCGGGAAAATCTACATAGAAATAAAGGGTTGATAAAGAAACAATTTTTAAATAAACAGCTCGTACATAAGGTAACAGTAAGTACTTAAAAATTATTATTTTTTGACTAAAATTATTTTAATTATTTTTCAAAATTTTAAATTTTGTCTAAAATACGAAACTATTTCTGCATTGTGTGTTGTTCGTTTCATTTCCCGCGTGATACTACTTATTTTTCATTTAAGTTTCTTTTTATTACAACTTTTAATGTGCAACATTCTTAGTGGCCAGTACGACCTATTAAATATCTTTTTAAACTCGTTGCCTACCAAAGAGGTCGAATACATCAAAACTCACTAAATAGATCTGTAGTGACATATTTATGAAAAATATACATATAAAAGATATCAACGTTGCACAAAAATTTTAAAATAAAGTAAAATACCGGTTTAATTTGGTTTAAATCGATTAAGACCGCATCATTGATATGCATATTCATCGAGCGAGAGCTTACTGCGACACCGTATTCGTTAAGCTTGTAGCACACAGTTAGGAATGTGACTGAAATTGTTGCGTATAGTCTACTGAATCTTTGGCGTAACAAAACAAAGCCGTGCCATTATCATATTTTTCGTTCGCTTCGCTTTGGTTTTTATTGTGTGTTACAAGGTTTTACATTCTAATTGAATTGACGTAACGAGTTTGATGTTCGCGTTCGTAACGTTTTTAATAATTGCATTTATTTTGCACACATTTTACTTTACTTTGTCTGTAACCGATGAATGTTTTTTAAATAAAAAGTGTGAAAAACATTTTTTTAAATTCGCATCTAATCCGTCTCGTCCTTTGTCTGTCTCTTCAGTCTCCTTGTAGTACTTCTTTATACAATTACAGAAATTATACCTTATTGAACTCACAGTGGTTTAATTGGTAACAAAGCTGTCCCTTAGTATTTTATGATATATAGTAAATTAACACATCTGGAAATGGGAATTTTTATAAGCAACAGTCACTTCGGTATCTTGACGTATTCGCGTGGCCTCTCCCTCCCTTAGCGACCAATTACTGAATCTTTGTGCACTTAGGATTAAATAGATTACTTATATGAAGTAAAAACGAATGTAAATCAAGCGTTTTAAAATATTAATGCAATCACTTAGCGCCTGATAAATTAATAACGATCGTTGTTCGGTTGTTCCGTTGCCTGAGAATGATTTATCAAATATGCCATATTCGATACGGAACATAAACCATATATCACTGGGAAATAAATATACAGTTATAATTTTGAGGTTATGTTTGTAAATGTTCGTTCCTAAGGGTTCCAAAGAGCCTCAACAGTTTTATCGATTTTGAGAAGTAATATTACATTTAATTAGTATAGTAAAAAATAAGATTTATGTATTTTCTTCTCGATTGTATTAAATATTACAGCTTTAACGAATTGTCACAGCGATCACACTGCCAACACAAACGCCTGTTGTAAATAGATACGCAAATGTTTTCAATTAAAAAATTGCGTGAGCATGAATAAGTAAACCGTATATTATGTATGATTTAAATTAGTTCAGAATAATTAATTCAGTTGTTTCTACATCGTAACATAAAACGAAATGCTCTCTGTTTTACTAAATTGTAGAATCCTTTAATAGAAAGGCCAACCCTTCTCAAGTATCAAATAAATTTAAACACTTTATAGGTTATCTTGTTATGAAAATGGCTCGTTTCCATGTTGATTAAACGAGTCTTGTTTGTTTTATATTAATTTAAAAAGTAGAAACAAATAGACATTCATTTTATTGATATATTCATTGTCCGGTAACATTTTAATCGAGAAAATTTGTAATTTTATGAACACTTAATGTTTTAAAATGCAACAATTTATTTCATTTAAATATATTTATAGTTACCTTCAAAATATCTTACTAATATTATAAATGCGGATGTTTAGATGAACGGATGGATGGATGGATGATGAAATTTGGCATATGTAGAACATAGTTTGGAAGAACACATAGGCGAATAATTTTCTTATTTCCGGTCAGAGTTGCGGGACAGGGTAGTTCAGTTACAAAATTGTCAAAATTCGGCATGTTGAGCCTAACACTTATGATGTAAACTTATTAAAGAATTTATACAAATAAATATCTTAAGATTGGTCAGATCCTGCTTTGTCAACTTATATTGTTAATTTTATGTTTAACATTACGCTATGATTACACACACCAAATAAAATATAGAAAAACATCATTTCAAATAACGACTCGTGTAGTCGTGAGAGGTACGACTTTACTTCATTACATTTCTTGCACGAATGAAACACCTTTGATACGGTCTACCGACCATCCAGCGCGACCAAGATCAGATAGCGAGTAATAATGTTTTTGTTGCAATGAACAATCTAAAGTAAAGCGTAATGCATACTGGAATAAACCAACGTTTTTACTTATTATACTGACTGAATAAGGAAGAGTTTAGTTAAGAGACATATGAGAGAGATAAGGAGCAGTATGTTTGGTAATATAAAAGTAGCAAAAATCAAATTGGATTAAGTTGGAGAACGATATAAATAACAATAGAAATAGTAATTGCTACTGCAACCTACTTTTTTTCCAGAGAGGAATGCTTTATGCATACTCCGCGCCCCGGGGGGGACGCGGTAGTTATGTGGGATTCTCCTCCATAGCGGAGGCATACCCACTAAACCTCTCTGTTCCTCCAACGCATCGGGACGGGACCAAGGGCACGCTTTCGCTCACGACCCCTACTGCAACCTACCTATATACCTTTGATGCTTGATAATATTCGGGATAATTTTACCCTTTGAAAATTGCATCATGTTACTTTTTGGAATGTAACTAAATATATCTTTTGGTGCTATATAATTGTTAATATTCAATGTAAAACAATCCTTACGTGCAATTTAGTCACGCAAAGCTTTTTACTGTAACATAACTGAAGTAAGCAGACCAATCATAGCCTTGAATCTGAAACACGATATTAAAGTTTTCTGATGTGATGGAATATAAGCAAATGGTATAGAGCTACTGTCGGGGAGTCCGATGTTGCCGAGAAGACCGGCCGTGGCGAGGGGCCGGACTTTATCCTCGCTGTATTGTCATATTTACAGACGTAGAGAGGCCTCTGCTTCGTGTATCAGCTTGTTAATATTAACCTCCCAGTAGTTTAAATTAACCGTATGTATGCGTTAAGATTAGGGACCCTCTTCTTCACCGTAACCGGTCGGCGGCATGTTTGACTTCCTTTTGACACGAATCTACTTTTTATCGTGCCATTTTTTGAAGGTCGGCGGTAATTAAGACAACTTTCAGTACATTAATAAACTGTCCTTTTAATAACGATTTTCCAAGTCTCATCATCATACCAGTGAGTGACGGGCTGCATCCATGAAATAATACCAGCCCCACTCACCCTGAATGAGGCCCTCCATGGGCTGGTAACTAGTCTGTGCTGACACTGGACGAACATACGTGAGTGTTTTAGACGTTTACATATACTTCTTCTTCTTGAGGTGCCTCTCCAACTAGCGAAGGTTGTCGATCAGTTCTCCATATTTTCCTTATAAGGAATCAATCTGATATGTTTATATAACAGTTTATGATAATTTCTCACGCTGTAATAATTAAAATATGTTCTATATATTATAACATAAAAATTTACAATAACTAGATAATGGTTACTTCCAGACAATAACCATATTTACAGCCACTTTTGAGTTTTCAATGCTCAAACAAGCAAACAAGTATTTTGGTAGTTCATAGTTAGCAAAGTATTTAAATTATAACATTTTCGCTACGTTAAATTCTATATTAAAATCGTTTAGCAAAAGATAGCTTAGTAGCACCACGAGCTCTTATCTATAAAAGTAGTTTGTCTAGCCTTACATCCGAAAGCATTGGCACCTTTACAAATTGAATGTAAATATATGTATAAGCTATAGTACAAAGATAGTGGTTAAAGAACAAGATTTTTTTTTTATTTAAAAGACAAATTAAATTAAAAATAAGGAAATACTATTCACCTTTCAATTATTAAAAAAGTTTTCTTGTTATTGCGATTCTGACATTAAACAAAAGTACTAAACGGTAAAAATGTTAAGAATAAATAAAAAAGTTTTTCTAGCAGAGCGTGGTTTCGATCCACGGACCTCTGGGTTATGGGCCCAGCACGCTTCCACTGCGCCACTCTGCTGTTGCCTGTAGTGCCGAAAATGCTATATACAACTATTTACGGAATTATAGGAATTGTTTATTTTTCTTTATGGCCAGGACTTCTTTAGAGCATCAGGGTAAGTGTAAGTTTCATCAATAAATTTTACTATATTTCATCTTACTTGTCTTACTGTCATAAATGCGAATGTTTGGATAGATGGATGTTTGTTAGAAAGTATCTCTAAAACGGCTTAACGGATTTCGATGAAATTTAGCACAGAAGTAAAACATAGTTTAGAAGAACACATAAGATTGTTACTAAGTTTTTTTTAATGTGCGCGGACGGAGTCATGGGCAATAGCAATACTTGATAATTCACTAATGTACTGACATTAATTAGAAATATGTATACCTAATTACTGTTGCATTGTAATAAAGTTAATTACCTTAAAATATTCACAAAATTCAATGACGTATTTGAAAAAGATAATAAAAACAAATATGTTCATTTATTTTTATTATTATAATAATAAATTTTATCTATATTTACTACATAAATAAGGACGTTAGAATATTTTTCGTAAATAAGAAAAATGTTTTTACGTATAGTACATGTACTTTTAATTTGTTTTAAAGTATCAAATTCGTTAGAGTGGCGTGTATTCGATGGTCAAGATTTACGTTATGACGTCCATAGTTACTTAGTGAAATTGGAACTTTATACATATTATAATAATATTGGTACTTGCAGCGGCTCTATAATAAGCAGTTCATGGATAATAACTTCAGCGCATTGTATTCAACCAAATCTACATACTATCATCGTTCTACAAAAAACAAGATATAAAATGGAATTCATAGGATATATTACTATTTATGATGCGTACGTACATCCAGATTTCAAACTAAATATTGATACTATGCCAAATAGAGAAAAAGATATAGCATTGTTATACGTAAGAGAAGAAATCAAATTTAATAGATATATGAAACCAATAAGATTATCAAGAATGCGTCCAAAAATTGGTGATACAGGTATAATAGCGGGTTTCGGAGAAACAGAAATTAATTTAACAACACCAAGAGAAGGTATTGCTGTTATAGATACATGTCCAAATGCATCAGGAGAAAGAACAAGGAATATTTGTACTATAGGTCCAGTTAGAGCTGGACCCGGGGATTCTGGGGGACCTTTAATTTATAAGGGAAAATTAGTTGGACTTATTTCAGGTGGATGTATGGATGTTAGAACAAATAACATGTGTATAACTGTGTACACAAGTGTAGAAAGGAATATCGAATGGATACTAGACGTTGTCAGTAATGTAGAGTAAAGAAACTGTAATAGTAGGTAACAATAATGTTTAAGAAGTATCAAATTGTATTAAGAACATAAGACTATAGAAAAGACGAAGTAAATATTTATATTACCTCTTCATGCTACAGATATAACGAAAATACGTATGTCAATGTAGGCGTAATGTCTTTCAAGGTGACCATATTTTTTTTCTATATTTACGGTGAAGGAAAACATCATGATGCAATCTGTGTAGAAATTCAAAGATATGTGTGAAGTCATCAACCCGCACTAGGCCAGCGGAGTTGACAATAGACACCCCTAATTTCGGGTAGGCTCCGAGCCCCTCGATGGACCTATAGTAAGATGGTGATGATTTTTTCATATATTGAATAAGCACTTGACCACGACTCTACCTGATGTTAAATGGTGATGTGATAATTGGTGGTGTTATTTCTCCTGCTTTGATGATGAAGAAATAAAACAAGTATTATTATATACAGGATGTTTCCTTGTCTTTATCTACTAAAGAATAATGTATTAATTTTTCCTTCAATACAAAATTCGCATGGATGTTATTACAAGTATGATAGAGTCATTCTTAGATGTTTATAAAACATTACAGCGGGTGTTCACAATGTGTGACGAATGACCCAATAAATATGCTAAAGTGTTATACCACGTATTATGACGATTCACGTAACTTAGTACAATCGATAACAAAATTGTTAATAATATAAAATTTTATTTAAAATTTTTAATCATATAAAAGGATTTCTTTTCCTTATTTCTTAAATTAAATACTACCATTAAATTATATAGAGGTACTACAGATATATGTGTCTTAATGTAAATATATATACATAAACATATTAATATTCCTATATACAACTTACGAGCTAAAACTAATGCAATTTTTAACAATAAACTAACAAAGAATCTAATGAATAGTCTTAAATCTATTATATAAAATAAAATATTAAATTAAATTATAAATAAAAAGATTTCAATTTTAATCTATTTTATTTAGCTTTAGTGACCATTTATTAATTAACGATAACTATGTGAGAGTGGCCGAGGATCGTGCTCAGTGGCGTGCCATGGGAGAGGCCTATGTCCAGCAGTGGACTAGTATAGGCTGATGATGATGATGATGATGAATGAAGTAAAGATTGATGTAAATAAAATTTACGATAATGTAACAATAATAATTTAAATTTTCTATATGAGATATGTTTCGAATATTTTCATTTTGTTTTACTTTTTACTAATAATATAAATGTGAATGTTTGGATGGATGGATGGATACTTTTTTAAGAGTTTCAGGACGGCTGAACGGATTATGCTGATATTTCTAGAATGTAGTCTGGAAGAACACATAGGCTAGTAATTATGTTATTTTTGATAGCTAGTGCAATATAAAATGCTTTATCTGGACTTTGTCTAAATATAAAAAAATATTTCATTCGATTTGTATTTTCATCGCGACTGTACTTCGATCGCATCTGAAATGCGATACGCTTTTTGCACTTATTGAACTCTTTTCTTACATCACACGTGTATCATCCCGTACGATCAACTTGTGATGTAAAATATATAAATACGCTGTAAAAAGTTCAATAGTAATCGATCGATTAACTGCCGAAATACACCAACGAAGTTGTCCTTATCATTATTACTAAAGAAGTTGAGACAGCAATATATGATCGGTCATGCAGCAATCGAAATCACACAGAGTAACAACAGCGGGACTAGACAAATATTAGCTTTGAAGTGATTCCATAATGAACTTCAAAAATGTATAAAACTGACATCTTTCGATAAATTACGTGATTGTCGCGCATCACTCACATATTTTGAAGTTCGCTATTTAATCGCCTCAAAGCGCACACTTTGCAAAGCCCCGCAGTTGTGTAAAATCCAAAGCAATTTTCTCGCTTGCATGACAAAATATTTCTCGCCTAATGTTATATTTCGTCACGTAACTGCGTCACTGTTTTATGAAGATATGACGTGATTATACAATATACTTTTTTTTTCTTTATTACACATATCCCATTATTTTTACATTTGATATTTAGACACCAAGAAGGTGGCAGTTTTATTAAAACCTTCTTTTTAATAAAAAAATGTGTCTATACTTTAAAAGTGTTTTTGTTATATTTGTTTTATTTTATGGTATTGAATCTGTTTCCATTGACGGTAAGTTTATATTTTTAGTCAATCTTACTAATATTATAAATGCGAATGTTTAGATACATAGATGAATGTTTGTTTGAAGATATCTCCAGAACTGCTGAGTATCTCGATGAAATTCGGCACAGAATTAGAACATAGTCTGGAAGAACACATAGGCTACTAATCACGTTTGTTAATACCGCGCGAACGGAGTCGCGGGCGACTACTAGTCTAAGAATATATAAAAATATAATTAGTGTTAATATAAGTAACCAATATATTACACAATAATACCCTATCTTTATCTTAAAGCTAACAAGAAAGTTATTCCGAGAACTTTTCCTGATAACTATAACTAATTACCCAATAGGAAAATAATAAAAAGAAAGCCTTTCATATTACACCGAAAATAGAAATAAATGTATTACTTATCGTTATTTTTCTGATTAATATAATACAGTTCACATAGACGACGCACCTGTGACGTCATATTGAGATCGTATGTTATTGTGTCGAGTAGTACGTTAATTTAAGATAATTAATAACAATACGTTACCTCTCACTGATAGTTAACTAATAATTACAGTATATAATTGTCTTGTTCCAATAAATCAATAAGATGGTTTACAATATTAAATTGTTAATATAATATATTCCTTACCAGCTGTCACCCGCGACTCCGTCCGCGCGGTATTAAAAAAACTATTGGTCGCAGCGTAATGTTATATAGCTTAAAGCTTTCCTTTATAAATGGACTATCTAACAAAGTATAATTTTTCAAATCGGACCAGTAGTCCCTGAGATTAGCGCGTTTAAACAAACAAACTCTTCCGCTTTATCTTATATATATATAATAAAATTCTCGTGCCACAATTTTCGTTCCCATACTCCTCCGAAACGGCTTGACCGATTCTCATGAAATTTTGTGAGCATATTAAGTAGGTCTTAGAACCGGCCAACATCTATTTTTAATCCCGCGCAGACGGAGTCGCGTGCGACAGCTAGTATTAGTATAGATATTTATGCCTGACGAAGGCCTAATTTTAGTCCACTCTCCACCTTTATAATGAAAAGATAGGAAGGGGAGATTGATTTCACGAAGGACAGGACACGAAAGTGACATAATCTATTTCTAAGCATCCCATTCTCCGACTTGCTTTTTACATTAGTATAAACGCAATAAATCATCATTTCGATTTCGATAGTTCTTGGTTAGGTAATTTGAAGAATAGTATCTTTCCTAATAGATAAAGTATGGCGGGGTGAGCTTCGTAACTGCATACGCTGTCAGTTATCTTAATGACGTTGTTGTTAAGCGTCGTATCGCTTGAGTTTGTCTATTCACTTTTGTTTGTGTGACCTTGAATTGCCTACTTACGGTAATAAGTGTTTTGAAATTGGAATTTAATGATTACAACAGTCATGCAAATATTATAATTTAATGATTGATCATAAAATTTTAATGATATTAAAATTTAATTAATGAATCATTGAAGTTATACGCTTGAGTTGTTTTATAACCGAATTATATTCGTTCTGAATCATTAACATAAGTTTATCATTACGAAACCCAACTGGGGTACACTGGTTGAGCATGGTCAGTTATAATTAAGCGATCAACTAAGGCCGTTGTGTTTAAATAGGACATATTTACGAATTAGGAAAAAAAAACAGTTGAACTTATGGAGCTGATCAAAGTATTTTACGTCTGGATGTGTGTTACCTTCTTAGTGTTACATTGTGTTCTAGAAAGTTCTAGTGAACAAACACCCTTTGAATTGCCTGTACAATTAGTTGGTTTTCCATTTATTATAATGGCAGTACGAGTGACTAATTTCATCAAGAAACTATCGTATGCATTAAGTCCAGGTAAATATATAGAAAAATAATTTTATGATATTAATTTATATATAATTAAATTAATAATAAATACATTTCTATTTTATTTAAATTTGAATAAGAGATTTGTTTAATTTCCACAGTCTACGTTCATGTTTGCCTTGAAAATTTGTTTGAAATGCAGCGAAGGTTAAGTTATTTACCATTTAATATGAAAATTACAAGATAAAGGCAAGTCAAACGAATATAAGTTGATTACAATTATTGATTAATTTACCCTGGGTTTCTGAGTCTAATATCTCCATATAAATCATGATGATGATTTTATACGGACATATTGATGTCAGAAACCCACGGTTAGTCGAAATTTTTACTTAATTTTGAAAAATCAAGCGAATATATTTTATTCTTATTGTAAAAATTTTTAACAAATATATAATTTGTTTAAGTTTCAATTTCTACGAAGTTACAAAATCGCGCTTTGGTATATACACGGTCTATTAGGTTATAGAGTAAATTTAGTCATGCATTTTTTAAATGACAGTTATTATTCCTTTTTTGTAAAAATGTACACCCTGTAATGGTTAAAAAAATGGAGTATAAATTTACGAAGATATTTTTGTGTTTTTGAGACTGCATCAGACGAGATGATCTGCAACTTTTAATTACGTAACCAAAGAAATAAAACTTGTAACATAAATGACCGCATGACCTAGTTCAATCTACCTACCTACCTCTGTCGTTTGATAATCGTAAACATATTGTTAGTAGAAATATTGCTAATCTTAACCAGTTGGCTTCCATGAGTAAACCACCTGTACAAAATTATATCTATATACTTATCTCTTTCTCTTTCTATCTCTTTCTTCCTAGTTTTAACTAACTTCCTACTTCCTTGATTAGCAGTCGACCATGTCTTTACAATATATCGCCTTGTTTTAGAGCTGAACCTGCTTTTTTGATTATTAATATTATCGTTCTGTTTTTGAAACACTAGCAACTAGGAAAAAAGTTCCTTACCATATTCTCTCTACAAAACTACATAATTAGCTATTATTCACATTATAAGAATATATTTAAATCTAGAGCTTTTTTTGTAAAGATACGAGGGGGCACGCAGTGTCTCCAGAAAAGTCTGATAATGTTAAAAGAGTTCCGTAAGAACAGAAATAAATAAAATGATTTGGAAAAGAATAAAAAAATAATAATTTTGATTCATGTTGGCAGTGTCAATTGGGATCAACTTATATTAGGCAATCTGCTGCTAATTTCTAACATCATAAAAATGTAGAATGCCTCCAAATAATAAATCTGTACTAAGTAATCTAATATCATAATATTTGGAAGAATGGATGGATTGATAGATGTTTATTAAAAGGTATCAGCAGAACGGTTCTAAGGATATCAATAAATTTGGCATAGAAGTAGAACATAGTGTGGAAGAACACATAGTCACCCAATTAAGTTTCTTTTTATTCCCCGCGGATGGAGTCGCTGGCGACATCTAGTATTTAATAAGTTAGAACGATTGTCCTAGATTGTACGCCACTTTACAGTCACTTCCTTACTTTACGCAGTGACATAATACTGTGGCCAACGAAAGTGTATCGAGTATTACAAGTTGCCTTTAAATAAACAGTACAATCTTTGTCAGTCTACAATACAAACGTAGTATATACTTTTGCAATTAAATAATATATTTAATTATAATTAATTCTATTATATAATTGTTACAAAACTTATATCAATTGATAATAAATAACAATGGTTGGTGTGTTGTGAAACTATGTATAGTAACCGTACTTCATACATTGTATTTTGTGCTATTGTCAATGTGACTTTGTAAGATATGGAGCCCGGTCGTGTTTTGAACGTTTTATTAGTGTCTTTACTATTATTGAATTGTCTTTGTGTCTGTCAGCAAACCGATTTTGAATTACCGGTACAATTGATAGGTTTCCCGGCTATAGTTGGCGGTGTTAGGTTTACTAATTTTTTGAAGAAACTTGCATATTCTTTAAGTCCAGGTGAGTTGTTTATTTTTAAATCGACTTTGTAGTGAATGTTGGGAATATCTTCATCTTTTTGTAATATATTCCTGGCTAAGAAAGCTCTTGTAAAATATTCAACGTTCTTTATTATGACTTATAATATTTATATGTTAGTTTTATTAATATAATAGCACTTTTTAATTTAAAAATAGAATAAACAACAAATATCAAACGTCAAATCTAATCTTTCTTATTTATAATATTAGTATTTACTAAATATATAAAGCGAAAACTTTACACCAGTTTTTGAAGGAAATTCCAACAACGGATGAATTTATTTCGGCCAGTAAATTATTGTAAAGAAGTCCGTAATGTTATTATCAATTTAAAAGAAAACATAATTTGAAAATTTTTTGAATTTCGAACGATGGGCAACTTTCAATTAGAAGTTAATAAGTGTGATCCAATGAAATGCGTTGCAATGCCAACGCTAAGGTTATCACCAATAGTATATAATCCTTTTTCTGCCATAGACTATAAATATAACATGGATCGAGCCAAATAAATCACCGATAGCCACCGATGGATTTATTGCACTTCCTAATGTATAATAAAATACCAGCTCGCGTTTATTGCAATTAAATATTTTTATATCGATAAAAAAGCTATCTTGCGACGCTACGAATTCAATGAAAAAAAAATATCAAATCATCATTGATTCTTTAATTTTTTTTTCTTAATTCATTTTTTTTAAATAGGATAAACTCTAGAATAAGGTAGGTTGTTGCTTCTCTTCTCAAAATTACCCCTCTAATTTCCTGTATGGACACACGAAATGCCTCTACCAAAGTTAATTTAGTTTTTAAGTAAGTCTAAAAGACTTCTAGAAAAGAGTGAAAAGGCATAATAAGTTAGGTCTTATCATCTTTCGTCCACATTACTGACATCAGGAAGGATTGTTGTGAAACGCTTTATTTAAAAACGCATCTGCAGCTTCTCTAGTATTGTGGATGTCATTTGCCCCTCCCCTAACAATAATTTTAGATCATTGTTCTATACAAAATATTAAACAAACATTAAATATATTTCCAGCTACATATAGATCTCGTGCTCGGCGGGAACTAATCTATACGGACCAGAGTATGGAATCGCTGGACGCTCGGGAGGTAGAGAAGTACATTATAGCGGAGTTCGGAGCCAAGGCGTGCGTGTTTGAAAGGGTTTGCTCGCATTATGCAGCCAATGCAAGAGTGCAACCAAGACAGCAGCTCAACTGGGCTGATGTGTTCAAGTAAGTACTAGTTTGTAAGAACCATGTGACGTCTTTAAATAAGTTGGGTTCGATAGTTGTATACCATAATTTGACATTTGATACACCGACATCTAAATAACGACTTGATAACATCGTGAATAAAAATAAATATCGAATAGAGGTTTAAGAAAGGACAAAAACAAAGTGCAAAAGCCTCATTTCGTACATCACCGACCTTGACATGTCGTAACGGAGTTTCTTTTTTCAAATATTCAAATTCAAATTTAGAATTTCAATGGCAAAACGTGAGATGAATTTAGGCCAGCGAGCGGTGACGTTGCGTAAACGCTGCGTAGACTGACCGCAAGTGGGTCGACGATGTAACGCTTGCAGACGCAATCGGAAGGGTCAGTGTGCTGACCAGTCACGAACACATCGCCATATAAACACTCACGTTAATGATCGACATACACGGACCTCTTTGAGTGTTCGCGATGTTGGCAAGGATTGACATTTGTTGTACACGGAACGTTTGCTGTCGCTGTCCGCTAAATATGCAGCACACCGACTTATTGAAGGTGTTCGTGTACAAACCGTGATGAATTTTAGATTTGCGTATTTTTCAATATAACCATAATATAATTTGGCCCAGTGCGGATTGGTTTTCTTCACACATGTCTTAGAATTTTTATGCAGGTTGCATCACGATGTTTTCCTTCACCGTAAGAACTTTGGACAAATGTTTATATGCGTTTACTATCATATATGTAATATGTATACTATAAATTTTGCTAAAGAATGTTCCAGGAAATTATATCTAGAGTTTAAATCATCTCATTCTACTTCCTCTGATTGTGGTATGAGGTCCATAACCTTATGTTCATTGCATGCACTAGGTTAGTATTGCATTGCGTTGTACTCGAGGCAAGCCAGTTGCATAATGTCCCGGACTTTCACTGATCTTATGGTGTACATGACATACAAACTGAAATGTACCTTATAGCCTTCAAAATAAGATTGTATTTTAAGATTTTATGCAATTTACTTATTGGCAACACTTAAATATTTTTATGAAACACACTAGATGTGAATTTTTTGCGAAATATGATAATTTGTCTCGGTAATGCAATCTCCTTTACTTTATTGCCTAAATACACACATAAAACTTGGTTTCTCTATTTTTTCAACGAGAATGAGAGAGATAGAGTGTCAGCTTTGAATGTGTGCTTGAAATTCTTTTGACTTTTTAAATCAATCAGTTTTCTAATTCAGTACTGCTTTTTTTATGTTGACATTTGTTTTGTTTTTATTTCCAGACAGTATCGTCAGTCTCAAGACCAGGCGAAGGAGTTGTTCTTACTAAGCGTGTTCCTTGGAGATATCGTGGGCTCCACACAGCTATGCCATCAGCTGGGAAAACGGCGACCGTGTGATAATACACTATTGACATCTATTGAGTCATAGCTTTTAACATAACCAGTTGTATTGGAATGGTCAAAAAAATATAAAAATAAGTACATTGCCGCGAAAGCGAGGAACTACGTGGAAGCTTCTTCTACTTTCGCGGCAATGTACTCGAAAATGCTTAAATATATTAATGGCAGGGAACCTATGAAGGTTTTGGTTACAGCTAAATTTATTCGGCCAAAACTATTGAAGCAAAGTATAAATTAAATTTTCGCTTCGTTTACGTGACATCATCTGCTCACTACACACCACTGAGAGGCTCGGAACCAGGGGTGACTAAGCCAAAGTCAAACACGCTGGTCCAATGCGGATTGACTTCACACATATCTTTCTATTTCTTTGCAGATATGTGCATGTTGCATCACTATGATTTCCTTCGCCGTAAAAGCGTCGGATAAATGAACACATGTTAATCGAAAAACCCATTGGTATATAGCTAGATTTGAACCGAGAACCTGCAGATTACAAGTCAAGTTGTTAACCCCTGAGCCACCGCTCCAAAGATGTTTTCGTGTTTTGCGCATTACATTACGCTACAGGATGTTCAATAATGTGAAATATGAACGTAATTAATAATCTATTGATGATACCAAAAATATATTTCTTTCGATCTGTAAATTTTAAACAATATTAATTGGTCATTGGTTGGTGGTAAAAAGCGTCATATCAAGAACCGTTTTCATTCAACCATAACGAATGATTACAAAAAATAGCTTAAGTTCTTATTTTGTTTGTGACATTGTAAATTTATAGTCGAAGTTGTTTTTATAAGTTTTATATATTTTTTAAAATAATTACCCACATCAAGATGCAGTGATTTATTAAGTTACCACTAAGTAATACGCATGTGATAAAAAACTAAGTAAAATTGTAAGTTCATATTTTACTAACATAATTTGTTAATATTTTTAGTTCTTTTGTGAACAAGATGTTAGTTATTTGGAAATTTTATTCATGTACAGTCGCGATGAATGTATTTGTTTTTTTTAATAATCCAAAGAAAACCGGACATGGTGCTATACTTGTAAGTCCACAGTTTAATTACGTTGTAATTTTTTTTTTTAATACTGTGAATTCTTCCATTGACATGCCACTGTTATGAATTTACGTAATTATGTATTTCCTTTCATTCAATTTGTATTTTATTGGTGGTTATTTTTAATAGTTATTTAGTAGTTTTTTTTTTATAAATAAATTATATGAAAAGAGTTATATGAGAATTTATTTTAACCTTGGGTTCGATCAATTTGGTTCAAAATTTTATCTTCTTGTATTCTCTAACTCTGGAGTTTCCATTTTCCATTGACTTTATTATACTTTTCAAAATTTTAAATTGTTCTCTTTAATGTAATAAGCTACAATACAATTATTACCTACTAATAGTCGCACGGATTTTGTCAACGTAGAATTAAAAAAGTAGCCTAGAAGATCGTCAAAATCTATCCAGCCGTTACGGAGATTACCCGGAACAAACACGGCCTTGCGGACAGACATACAGACGGACAAACATTTTAATAATAGGTTTTTCAATATCAGCAAATGTGTAAAACCTAGATAGGTATAAAAATGGCAAAAAACACAACATGACAGCTACAGTACGAATCGAATCTTGTGGTATTTTGACGTTGACAGTGGCGCTAGTGTGCAGTCATAATTTAGTTTGACTTATACCCACCAGGTCCTTGTCGGTCTAAAAACTTATTTATGATAGCCCACTAGCGCCCTCCTATAATCAATTTTCACTGTACGATTTGATTGCAGTGGTAAGCAACAAGTGTAACCAGCGCCATCTATGTTACAGCTCTTATAATACTTGTAAATTAAAGGAACGCAAAGAACTTCTTACATTAATTTTAATATAGAGGGCTCCCATTTAAAAAGTGAATTTACAATGAAGCAATTTCATGAAACTATTTTTTTATTTTTAGTTACTAAGCCAGGGACATCAATTGATCTATACGGTCCTAATACTAAGGTATTGCTTGAGTAAAAATTAAATCTCTATGTGTGTAAAGGTGAAAGTATTTCAAATAGTTTTGGTAAAATAAGTTCAAACTGTCGCCAACGTCCATACCATGTTGAATACACCGGTTCTCGTCCGATCACTGCAGTTAAGCAACATCGGGCGCGGTCAGTACTTGGATGGGTGACCGCCAGGGAACACCGCGTGATGTTGGCTTTTTGCTATTTTTTTTTATTTCACAGATACAACATAGTAAAGTTAACTGTGCTTTTACCAAACTTTTTTTTTGTATATAAAATATTTTTGATTGCAAATTGTTACAATCAAATAAGGTTAAGCTATCGCCAACGTCCATACCACGTTGAATACACCGGTTCTCGTCCGATCACCGAAGTTAAGCAACGTCGGGCGCGGTCAGTACTTGGATGGGTGACCGCCTGGGAACACCGCGTGATGTTGGCTTTTTGCTTATTTTTATGATTTTTTTTAATTAAAAAATCATTATTAATTTTAGTACTTCATTGTTTTAGTCTTAATTCCACGTTCAAAAAACAATGGAGTTGCCGCATTTTTTTTCTACATACTCAGTACGTGTGTTTTGAATATTTTTTAAGTTTGTAGAAAAAGAAACTCATTTTTGACATAATCGTAGTTTATTTAAAATATTTTTTTAGCATACACAATAATAGCATAGCCTTTAAGGTACAAACATTATATATTTTATAACTTTGATCTACAATTATTTTAAATATATCACATTACGCCTTAAGACAAATATCTTCAATCATTAATTTATCGTAACTTAAAAACAAAATAGACAAACATTTTTAATCACAAATATTTACAAATACTTATCATATTAAACTAAAAATCACATAATAAACTTAAAATAAACTTAGAATATATTATAAACATAATACTTATCGTTTTTGGCCTGACATGTTTGTGCTAGGGATATTAAACATAATTCATCATCAGCTCACTATAAGTCCCCACTGAAGGGCTCAGAGCCTACCCAAAGTCACGGATGACTAGGCCATAGTCAACCTCCGGTGAGTTCCTTGAGGTTGGTCACCGAGGGGGTTTTAGAGAGTAAGAATCTCACATAAGGCTGTCTTTGTCCCAAAAGGCAGGATTTACGAACATTTCCCCCCGATACAAAATAAAGGCCATAGTCAACTACGCTGGCCAAGTGCGGGTTGATGGATTAAACATAATAGTGATAGTCAAATTATGAGATCATGATGTCCGTTAAAAGAAAAAATTCTATTACATTAGTCTATTGCCTTCTAATTGTCGGTCATAAGGCAGATATAATCCTGGTAGTTGGTAGATCGTTAGTTATCAAACTAAACGTACGTATGTCATAACATAGAGTGATTAATCACAACAGAGAATGTATTGAACAACGGTACCTACGTCCGTTGTTTTACCAAACTAGCGCATTTACTAAACCAGTTAGAACTAGAAATAGGAACAAAGGTTATTTTTATAGTCGCGAAGTTAAGTCGAATTCAAGTCAAAGTCAATGTTCTACAAAAGTTAAGACTGGGTTATAATCAAAAGCAAAGTCAAAAATTATTACATGTTAACACAGCGTAATTTCTTGTCAGGCACACGGGAAGCAAATTGGAAGCTTGGTACCACAGCCTTTGCTTCTTTTGATTCTTCTTTTATCTCCTCCTTCTCTCCCATCAACGTCTTCAAACAAATTCTCATATCTGAAGCGAATTTCTTAACTAATCTTTCCAATGAGAAGAGATGTTCATCCAAAGCTTCAGGTATTTCATCTCTCATAAAGTCTGCTAATTTCAAAAGGTATTCCGCATTAGATCCGGACGATCCGTGACATTCTAATATCTGTTTAGCTATGTCAGGTAAGGGCGCAGCTCCGAGCCAATGTCTATTTTCTGGCATTGCTATATACAATAATGCGTTTCTATCTGTTTGGAAGTCACTACTGCTACTAGGGGAAGAGAAGAGACACGGTCGAGGGTGAAAGTTAACGGTATATATTCTGTATCCGCCAAGTTTGCATTCTCTAGTGGAAAGGTAAGGTAAGGCGGCCTTGTTTTCTGCCGCTATTAAGAATGCTTTGCCCCACGTGACGCCCTGAAACAAAAGAAGACACATTAAATCTTACTAATATTATAAATGCTAATGCATGGATGACAAGATGTATTTTACAAGTTATCCTTTGGCACGAATGGCGCGCTTACGTTACAAAGTCAAGAATGATTAGTGAGGGGACATAAACGTTGACATTTTAGTAACGCTAGTATTGCGCCAGTACACAGTCTTAGTGTCGGATTTTCTTCCTAACAGTACATTTATCCAAAACAGCTCAATACCTCGATTAAATTTGGCATAGGACATAACCTGGAAGATCACATAGGCTACTAACGAAGTTATTTTAATTCGAAAGAAAGAATCGCGGGCGACAGCTAGTGTTGCAATGTTGGTGTTCCGTTCACAATTAAAATAAAATGTTTTTTTTTATTTATTTACTGATTGTTTCGTAATTAATACTTTGATAATTTGAACCATGACATATTTCAAAATATCTGAGTCATATTTTACAGATCTTTCTAAAATACCAAACTAAATTTTTAGAATGTGTGAAACTCTTCATTACCAAGGAGATAAAATTACCATAAATATCCTTTTTTTTTACAATAAAACTGTAATAAATAAACATTTCTACATATATATTTACAAAATACGTACGTGATAAAACTCATATTTAATTGCGTCATAAAATTATAATTAAGAAACCCGTATTGCATTAAATGTAACAATCATTGAGGAAAACAACACACGATCGTCCAATGATGCACTTAGCGTCACAAAACAGAAAATATGAGCAAGTTCACTTAACTCTCTCACTCTCTTCGAAATAAGTGAGATAGCTATAATAACAGTGGAAATCCACGGTTACGAGAACAAAGATAACACAATGAATCTGTAAAAAAACATCATCATCAGCTATACGTTCCCAACGAGCGGCTCGGAGCCTACCCTAAATTAAGGGTGATTAGGCCATAGTCAACCACGCTAGCCCTATGCTGGTTTGATGACTTCACACATATCTTTGGAATATCTTCTCAGATATGTGCAGGTTGCATCACGATGTTTTCCTTTACCGTAAGAATTGACTATAAAATATTATGTTATAGTGACTGCCAAATAATAATCTTACTAATATTATAAAAGATCTCGCTGAAATTTGGCATGCATATAGATCATAGTCTGGAAGAACACATAGGCTACTAATTATGTTTTTTAATTCCGCGCGAACGGAGTCGCGGGCGACAGCTAGTATAATATATATAAGTGGTTTTACAATAATAGACATAACATGTAGATATGTATTAAATACATAATAAAATATTTTGTTATGTATTTAACAATATCATGTGTAAATTAAAACGAAAACATATTTATCGTATTAATGTAAATATTTATACAAATGAGGATAAGTATTAAAATGATTTGTAATAAAAACTCTTTTCGTCATACTTGTTACCATGTTTATAAAAAGACTAGATGTTACCCTCCACTATAATGAAAAAATTACACGAATAGTCTATGTGTACTTCCAAACTATGTTCTACATCTTTACCAAATTTCATCAAGATCTGTTGAGCGGTTCCGGGGATACCTTTTAATAAATATCCATCCACCAAACATTCGCATTTATAATTATAAAATATAATATTATAATAGAGTAAGATAATAATAATCTGTGCCGAATTTCATCAAGAATTGAGCCGTTCCGTAGATACCTTCAAACAAACATCCATCTAAACATTCGCATTTATAATATAAGTAAGCTAAAGTTTTCGTGTGCATGAGTATGAATGATGATTACTTAATTATTTACTAGTTGTAGCTATCGATTGATAGATCCAAAGAGATTTAAATTAATAACTTATAGAGCGGAACAAAACAATAACTTGCTTACTTTAATCTTCAGTCAGCAAAACAAATGCTATTACTTACAAGCATGTTAAAAGACATAGATTAAGCTTCGTGTTGTCCTGTCTTTTTTTTTATAAGAGAAAGAGCAAACGAGCAGCGGGCACACCGAGGTGTTCATCGACGCCCAACGACATCTGCAAGACCAGAACCGCAGATGCGTTTCCTTTGACATGGTGATACGCTCGCTTTTAAGGACTGTAATTCGTAGCGGTTTGGAAATACAGCCGAGGACGGACCGTTCCACAACGCGGCTGTGCGAGATAGAAACTTTCGCGAAAATCGCACGGCATCTTTATGTAAAAAATAATAAACTGTTAGAAAGGAAATTAACACAGGAAAGTTGTCATGAATCGACTATTAGAAAGGTCATCGTAACACGCTTATCATAAGTAAGGCAGACTGATAAGACGTCTCAAGTATTGACGATATGTCTGCGCGTGGCATATTGAGTGCACATCAAATTAAATAAAAATATTGCTCGTGTACACACGATACCAATGAATACATCCACTAAATAATAATAGAAACATCAGATTACTTTTGTGTTATCAAATAATAAACGTCGCTCTCGACTCCGTCCGCGTGGAAATAAAAAAAATCTTAGTAGATTATGTGTTCTTCCAGGCTTTTGTTCTTTCAGCGAGATCCATGCAGCCGTTGTAGAGATACTTTCTAACAATCATGCACCCGTTCATGCATGCATCTAAACATTCGCATTTGTAATAATATTAGTAAGATTTAGTAAATAGAAGCATCACAAGAAAAAACATTTTTAAGTGTCACCAAAGTATGATATTAATTATTATTTAAAAGAAATCATAAATTATTTAATAATTTTAAGAGAATATGCCATTTTTTCACCACAGTAGTATGTGAATTAAACTCTGATTTCAGTCGTCACGTGCCGCAAGCATGTTAAACTCGGATTTATATTGAGACCATGACCTATTTGTCATTTCGAACAAAAATGAAACGATATAAATACACAAAGACAATCTCGCAAATACATCAGGGGCCATCGACAAAATTGTTAAAATTTATGCAGCGCCTCAGACGTAAAGTAGACCAAAAATCTTATTTGAAATAATTTACGATATGAAGACGATTGTCACAAATATTCATGCTAGGACCACAGGACATATTCACATATTATCTGTAACTCTATGTTTGACTTTTCATTTGTCTAAGAAAACGAATTATAACATGATGGTTGGATGAATGGATGGATACTTGTTTGAAGATATCTCCAGAACGTCTGAACGGATCTTGATGAAATTTGGCAAACATATAGATCATAGTCTGAAAGAACACATAGGCATTTAGTTTTTTATTCCGCGCGTACAGAATTGCAGGCGATAGCTAGTATCCTATAAAAAAACATAGTACATTTATGGTTTCTAATTTTTTTATATTCAGCACTTTAATAAAAAGACAGTTATTTTATAGTAATGTTTTATCAAAAATGTCAGTTAATGATTTCGTGATTATAGTTTCCTTGTTAATTGAATTATCATTACTAACTACACGATAACTTTGACCCGGTTAATGATAAGTGACATTAAAGTTTAAATTATGTCATCAAATTAAGTTACAACGAACAGTAAATCGAATACTTGAGTATGATCTAGAAAATGCAGCGATTTAAAATCTTATTAATAGTATAAATGCGAAAGTTTAGATGGATGGATGTTTATTAGAAGGTATCTCCACAACGGCACAACGGATTTTGGTGAAATTTTTAACAGATAAAACATAATCTGGAAGAACACATAGGCTACTAAGTTTTTTTAATTCCGCGCACTGGCTAGTGTAAACATAATAAAGGGTTAAAAGCCATTATTTTACTATGGCTTTTCGAATATGTGTAATTTATAGTATTTTATGCCATATTTTCGTGGAATAAACCTTTTTTTCCCATTAATACATGAAAGTTTATTCCACGAATTTTGTCCACAATTTTATTCCATGAATAAACCTTCATTCTTTTCAATGAAAACATGAAAGTTTATTTCAAGAATTTCCTTTTGTTGTTTATGTCCAGCATGTTGTTATAATTTTTTCTTTACATTCTTGTAGTAAGGTCTGATAGTTCGCATACAATACTTACTAATCCTTATACAAACCTTACCTTCAAAGTCAAGGTTTTAAAAATAAAATATAAAGTGAGTCAACTCATAAGTATAGACTATTGTGAAGTATAAAGATAAATTCCTATACTTATATTAAAAAGCGTCCATTGTTTTAACGGTAATAACAAAAGTGACCTTTGACTGCGTTAACTATGCGTAGTATTTAGATAAAGTTAACAATGAATGCACGTGTGTGGAACAAAGAATTTAGTACATTATATACTAGAAAGGAAAACATATAGCGTTTAAATAGAACATAAGATAAGAGGACACTGAATACATTTAGATACAGTACGAAACAAACTTTATTGAAGCTCGAAATGTCGAAGCTGTCCCAAAATATAATTTTAGGTATACTTGGTTACAACGAGCGGTCATAAAGTTTGCATGTAACATTCAAACTTTATTACGTAATCAGCATAAAGAGTTTCACAGTGATGCCAAATTTCACTGACGAAGCTCCAACAAGTTTAAAGAGTGACCACAAAGTAAAGAGCAATTGGCTTTGTATAAAGTGTGCTTGTGTTACACGATTACAATCAGTGAAAAGCGCGGCTTAATGAAAGCATTAGACAAACTTGATAATCTTATCTTAATAATACCTATATAATATACTATAATTTACTAACATTATAAATGCGAATGTTTAGATGGTTGGATGTTTGTTTGAAGGTGTCTCCGGAACGACTCAACAGATCTTGATGAAAATTGGCGCAGATTTAGAACATTGTCTGGACGAACACATAGGCTACTAATAATGTTTTTATGGTTCCGTATCTCAAAAAAAAAACGGAACCCTTATAGAATCACTTTGTTGTCTGTCCGCCTGTCCGTCAAGATCCTTTTTTTAATTCCGCGCGGACGTAGTCGCGGGCAACAGCTAACTGACAATATAATGAAATGACCCGATTATACCATTTAGGTTTATATAAGTGCTCTTAAATTACGATAAGATAAGTTAGATATCGAATGGGCACAAAGTAAAGAAGATAATTTTATTTTTTATTAAACTAGGATTTGAATCCATGACCGTGAATAAACAATTATAGTAGTATAGATGATTTCCGTTTTCCGTTTTGCAAGAAATTAATATAAAAAGCTAGGAATTAATGATGCGAAACCCAATTAAGTATTTCACTATTGTAAATGAAAATAAGAATAAAAGTAATATTTTTGTAACCGATTTATGTAATTATTAAAAAGAAACTAATACTGTAAAGTTTTTATACATGTAAACTAAATACGTATATTCTCTAATTAATAAAGTTTAGATTCGTAACATTTTTTCGAGGAGTAAACCTCTTTCTTAAAACATCGATGTGAACTTATCAACAATCGCACAACAGTGGATTAAACCGTGACAATTGAATGTATCCATATTGGTATCCCTTTCTTTCTCTTTAATAAAACAGAAACAACATGTATCAAATGTCACCGTGGAGTTTCACTGTGAGATGCGTTCTCACAAGACCCTACCGTTTTACAGCCAACAATTCGCAAATCACCGGACGCAATTGCCTGTATTGTGTACTGCGTTTAATTCACACATACTAACGTTACTGTCCAATGCAATAATATAACTTAAAAATAAAAACAGTGCATCAATTTTTACGTAAGACTAGTTGCCGCCAGCGTCTCCGTCTGCGCGTTATTAAAAAAAAAACAAAATTGCCTATGTGTTCTTACAGATTATGTTCTATATGTATGCAATATTTCATCGAGATCCGTTCAGCCGTTCTGGATATACCTTCAAACAAACATCCATCTATCCATACATATCCATATCTATCCATACATTCGCATTTATAATATTAGTAAGATAAAGAAAGTTTAGTTTAGTACAAACAGAACCTAACATGTGATGCAATGCAAAATATCAGAACAAAAACACTTTAGGCCCAAAAAACCTAGCAAAATTTTATCGCAATCAAATACATTTTATAAAAACATCCAACATTTCTTTTTAAATTGTATTTGGCCAGAAACACAGAAGTTTATTGTGTTTTTTTTTTGTTCATTTACACATTAAAAAAGTATCAATGACCTTTTTACAGATAATATTGGCCAGTCACGAGATTCTTTTGGATGAGTTTCAATTCTAAACATATTTATTCTTTGCCATGAATTTCTAATTTATTTTAATCTGATATCAAACAGAGCAAAACAAACCTTTTTACTGTAAATAAATATGAATCGGAATTAAATAAACCTAGATATCAAAAACCATCAGCGTCGGTGGCTCAGGGGTTAAACTTGACTTGTAATCTGCAGGTCTTGGGTTCGAATCTCGCCAAGTACCAATGTGTTTTTCGATTTATATATGTACATTTATCTGTATATGCAACCTGCACATATCTGCGAAGAAATTTGAAGATATGTGTGAAGTCAACCAACCCGCACTGGGCCAGCGTGGTTGACTATGGCCTAATCACCCCTAACTTAGGGTAGGCTCCGAGCCCCTCGGTGGGGACGTATAGTGAGATGATGATGATGATCAAAAACTATATACAGTCAAATCTGGATAAGTAAGAATCTTCCATAAGCGAGTCATTGTCCAGTCCTGACGGACGACATCGGCAAGCAAGAAAGGCGGATTTGAGAGAAACCTCTACAAGCCAGTAAAATATCTCGGTCTCTTGGACTCTCGCTTAATCATGGTTGTCTGTTTTCTATTGTAACTTTTTTTTTTGTGACTGATTGCCACTTTTTGCCTTGAGGAGGCATTTACAGCTTCACCGGGCTTGAGGTGGCCGAGCGCAGATGGCCTAAACCTCGTAATTGTAACTCTCACGTTTCTCATCTTTATACAGGCAGTTGGGTTAACGTTTTTTTCGATCAAAATCCTATATTTGAAACCTAACTATGTTTAGTAATTTAATATGTGTACATAACCACTATAAATATAAATGCAGTATTCAATTGTATAGATTGTACATATTACGTATTCTCAAACTGCGCAGTCTAAACGACACGTGTAACGGTCAGACGAAGCGATATGTTAATATGTATGCTCGATATACCATGAAATATTTCATGGCCTTACACGTAACATTCAAAACAAGATTAATAATAAAACATAAATTTCAATGCACTTTAAAAAACATCTATGTTTGCTTTTTAACGCAATACTGGCAAGGATAAGAAGCATATATTTTTGTTTCTAAAAAGTACTATCCTAATCTAATGCCTTAAATTAAAAGAAATTCTAAAATATCAGTATCATCTAAAAAAAAGAATCGACAAAAAAATAAGACAAGCATTATTATCTGCGTAGTACTAGTAAGTAGTAAGATTCGACATTTTTTTCTGGCTAAAAGCCAAACATCTGAAGCACATTGAACAATTTTAGAAAGAAACAAAAGTACTATTATGACGAAGTGCTCAATACTATGGTCATTAAAGCTTGCGGTCAGGCCATGGACAAATAACCGTTAACGGCATTTCGAAATTTGAAAAATGCATTCTTAATTTAAACACGGAAATAGATGGTCCAATTCGATTTACGTTACATATTCTATGCCACCTTATTTTGTAATATTATTATAACGGTTTTTAATCCATTGAAATTTTTCTTCATATTTTCAATATAGTATAAATTAAGAAAATAATCAACCATAGATAATAAAGTATAAAGCATTGATTTCAAACTCAAGAACGAGGTCAATAGTATGGGCCAAGATATAATTAGAAAAGTAAACTAGGAAGCTGCCATTAAATCATGAAGAAATAAAATCGATTAAGGTCTATTAGACGCTATTTATATGCCGCAACTTCACGGCAATGCAAAATATTTCCGATCGTATTTATATCTACTTACAAAACAAAGATTACACGATGAAAAAGATGTTTCTATCGTAAACTGACAGTAAATCCTTAAGAGAGAAAAATAATGCATACCTCATTGTCCTCTATTAAAGTCGCAACTCGTCCGGGCTGTAACAAAGAAAAAAAAAGAGTTAATACATTTGATGATGAGTTTTTCTTTATTCAAAGACACCAAGGTCCCATCAGCATTAACTATAATCCAATACAAGTCAGTTTACAAAACAAATTTACGTTTCAACATCTATGTTCCGTGTGACCAAAATAAACAAGACTACGCAAGTTTCGAGCACATTCCTTACGACTTCCGTATATAAATAATAAATGTTATCATGTCGCGTTTCCCTTCTCAATAGTGAAGAAAGTAATAAGTAAGTAAGTTCAAAAAAAAAACTATTAAACTAAAAGCACTACTAAAAAGAAATAACAATAATAACTACAGAGTTTTGAATTAAAAATAAGCCTATGTGTTAATCCAGACTATGGTCAACTTCAATATTAAATTTCACCAAGATCCATACACCCATTCTCGAAATACCTTCAAACAAACATCCATACATGCAAACATTCGCATAAATAATGTTAGTAAGAAGTAAGATTTTAATTCCTCTTATTTACTTTGACAAAACAGAAATTACTATATAAATTTTGTACAGTTGCAAGCACTCGAAACACACAGCTTTTTATATATTATATAAGACTAGCTGTCGCCCTCGACTCTGTCCGCGCGGTATTATAAAATAGATGTTGGCCGATTCTCAGACCTACTCAATATGCTCACAAAATTTCATGAGAATCGGTCAAGCCGTTTCAGAGGAGTATGGGAACGAAAATTGTGACACAATAATTTTATATATAAGAATAGAAGGGGGCAAATAATTAGTAGATCACCTAACATTAATTGTTCTAACACCCATAGACAACCGCAACACAAGAGGAACCTCAGAGGAGTTGCTCACCTTTAAAAACACATAGTCATAAGACAATCATCATGATAAAAAATCTCCCCATCCAGACTTTAACAATGTTTAATGTAATAAATTTTTTTAATAATACTACTAGTCTATAAATAAGTATAAAAATGCATTATAATAAGTCTAATAGAAGATTTATAAGTTAAGGTGTAAGGATTCTGTCTAATGGGATTTATGCAAGAGGTGGTTGACAGATTTGCTTATGTAAAATAAACAAATGATGTGACAATAAAAGTTTTAACAAAGAACACAAACAACAAAGATCTTTATGAGACTTAAATTTACTTTGTTATTTATCAAAGATTAATACTAATATATATATATTTTTAATAGTGAAGGAGAATATTTTAATGCATGCAATCCTTACTGGGCCAATAGGTGACTAAGGCTTAACCATTAAAATGTAGGATTGATCCCCTCAGTAGGGACTGGTATAGTGTGTTCCTAGGCATTTATGGTTTAAACAATTTTTAGTTTTAAGTTTTGTGAATAAAGATAAATACTAATATGTTTTATTCTCTTTTAATAAATTTCTAGATAAGTTGAAATATGGCTATCATTATTTAGCAAATTATTTATTGAAATATTTACAATTTATTTAAATAAAATGAAGCAACTATTAAATATCTACATATGAATTTACTTATTTACTCTTCCTTAATTGGTTTTGGAATAAGATCTTCCTTTTTGATTTAATTTCATACGACATTCCGAAATTAGCAAAAAAATTTAAAGCTCTTTTACATTATGACTTTCAGCCAGTGTTTATAGATTGTTAATAACAAAAGAACTTTTTTAAGAATAAAAAAGGGTTCTTATTTTAAACATACTTCTTCACTTACAAAGCCAGACAATTAAATTAGTTTAAGTCAATTTTAATAATATGATTAATCGTAACTTTACGAGAAACTTGATGACGTTATTGGAAATTACCTTGGATTCAGTACCACGATGAGTTGTGTTGCCTTGCCAAAATCGTCGAGAAAATCCTTTCACGTATCCCGTAACCGACTGTTGGTAGTCGAACCCAGGGTTCCAGCATAAAGATCCATATCCAAACACCCAAAAAGGTTCTTTTCTTGTAATTTCCCCTTCATGTTCTACTTTTATCGGTATTCTCGACACATTTTCTGTTTGATCCATGTTTTCTTTTTGATGTTCCATCAGATCACAAAACTTTTCTTTTAAAAAAATCGACTTTCTCTTTAAATCGCCTTTCTGGGCTTTATAATTTGCTTAAATCAAGAGAAGGAAAGGCGAATACTCAAATTATGCCAATATCTAGACCATTTAACACTGATTTTATTCACTATTTTTTTCTTCTTTAATCATTGTGGGTATTTTAAATACGGGTGTCAAATAAATTTAGCACTATGCAAGGAATTATTTTCTGATATATATCTTTCCATCGTGGCGTTCAAATGATTACTGAATGAAATTGAAAATGAATAAAGCGAAGTATTGCAGAACAAACGAACGAAACAGAATAACAGAAATGAGCGAGATAGCGAATGACAAGTGCAAGATGACATTTGTTACGTTCCATTTCAGGTATTGTTGTACTTCGCACTTTGAGATTTAGCCAAATAATAATTAATTTTGATAAGATTTACGAAAAATGTATTAATTTTATCTATAAAAATAATAGTGAATCTGTGTTTTTAACGTAGTTAGTTATTTTTAGATATAGTTCATAGTTTTAATTTAATAATTTTTTACCCGGTGATTTTTCAAAAACGAAACGTATATCGACCGTCCAATGAAAATATTATGTTAACGTACGGCGGTAATGGAATCTTCAACGAGGTCACGTTCATTGGTCGAGAAAGGCTGATGCAATTTTTGAAATACTTTGCACGAATTATTTAAATTACCTTTCTTTTTCATTATAATGTACAATGGACTAAAATATAGTTTAATGATTACACAAAAGAGAAAAATATACTTCATTGGAAGGCTATTCAAATGAAATACGCAATACTAAGATGCATTAAATGTATTTCTTAAATGTTTTATATCCAGAGGGATCATTGACCTTGAGAATATGGCGGGAGATATTTGTATACCGCATGGGCTGGATTGCATTTCTAAGTAAATGGATTGATAACGGTTAAAGCAAAATTTACGAAAATGCATGTCAATAATTCCATCTACATTAAAAACATTGGCTCATGTATACTTATGCAAGTACTACTAAAATTTTACTTAAGGTGTTAAGTATGAAAAAGGTTTTGGATTGGGTCCACTTCATATTCAGATCTGGCTGGTCATTGTTGTATGTCTGCTGACTTTTTCCAGACAGAGTTATAGATCGAAAGAGGGAAATATCAGATCTTAAAAACATTAAGGATCACAAATAAATATTATTTCGTGTTCTCTGCGTAAAATGAGAAGAATTTAAAGGTGTTCCAATTAAAGGTGAGTTCAATTTTTATTAAACTAAATAAAATTGACGAAAACATTAAAAGAAACATGATTTTAGAAATCGTGTTTCAAAACACTTTTATATTAAAAAACAGCGCCATCTATATTTAAAACTGTTCGTGATAAAAACAAGCCAACCTAATTCAAGTGTTGGGTCAAAAGGGAGTTAATCATAGAGGGCGTTAGTTATGTGATAACCGCGTTGAAATCACTGATAATTTCTGCCATCTTGAACAATCGTTGCAATATTGCTGGTTACAAAATTTAATTAAGAAGTACAGTAAGACATGCTTAGAAATCGGTTAATCCTTTATAAATATAAACAATCCCAATAGAACAGACATATATATGTATTATGAAGAGGAAAGATTTACTTTTTTACAGTGAATAGGCTCCTTAATTAGTGAACCGATTTGAAAAATTCGTTCACTGTTGGCTACACTATACCCGGGTGATATAGATAAATACATTATTAATAGATTTTTTAAATTCCGCGCAGACGAAGTCGCTGGCAACTGCTATATCTAAATAATACATTCTTGACAGTTTGAAATGTTTAATTCAGTGATAGCTTTAGAAAAATGTCAGCTTAACAAAACATGATTTGAAAAGGGTCATTTTCGTGGGAGTTCGTTTCCACTCGTTTAGAACGATATTAAAAAGAATTTTGATAGTATTGAATCCAACCGCTTTATATAAGCTTTTCGCAAATACTTTTAGTCTGACCCAACTCTGTGACGTCATTTGTTAGGAGTTACTGTGACGTTAAAGCGTTGACGTAATATTTTCTGCTAGTTTTTTATCAGTAAATATTCATGTATATTTTCAATGCTTATTCACTTTTGGCTATTTAGTTATTGCGTTTATTAAAAGTTGGCAATCCTAGTGGAAACGCATATTAAGGCGAAAACACAGTGGATGGAAATCAACTTTGAAGGGAATTTTAATAAACAGTCGTTGGTAATGAGAAGTATTAAATAACTGTTTATTAATTTTTCTGACTAGAACGAAGATAAATGTTAACAGAAATTCTGATATTAAACATTTATTATTACTGCGAAAATGAAATAAGCACAAAATACTATGCTTATAGCCTGTCCAGTTGAACATAAAGGCTCGAATTGAAACAATAATAAAAAAAGTTTGTCAATTTTGTACGACAACTTTCATTATCGTACGTCTTGTTTGTCTGACAACTGCGAATCGAATATCTGTTTGTGCCGTTCCCGTGACTTTATTGCTTTTTATCTGTCAAAGATCAATGATATTTCTTTGATATTTGTATCACGTAGTTATATCACAACAAACAGACAAGATAGTATGTAGATATAATACTATATAATATATTTTATTGTTATGGGTTCATACGTCTGAACAAAAAGTAAATATTTTCATAGCGAATGAAGGTGATTCCAATATGTTTTTTTACAGGTGTTCCACTAAAAACCCACTTTTATCTAAATACTAGCTGTTGGCCGCGACTTCTTCTGCGCGAAATAAAAAGTAACTTAATAAGTAGCCTATTTAAATGTGTTCTTCCAGAATATGTTCTACGTATGTGCCAAATTTCATTAAGATCCGTTAAGCCTTTCCGCAGATACCTTCTAACAAACATCCATTCATCTAAATATTCGCGTTTCTAATATTAGCAGGATTACTTTTATTTTGGTCAATTATGCATCATTTCTGCCGCAATTCGACAGAGATGTTGAAAAATTAATAAAGCCTTACTGACATTCGATCCTTCATTAATTAAATTCCGTAATTTGACAAAAACATCTTACGATTCCCAAACCAATATTATTACTAACTAGCTGTCGCACGCGACACCGTCTGAGTGGAACTGAAAAAAACTAAAAGCAACTAAGTGTTCTTCCAGACTATGTTCTATATGTCTGCTAAATTTCATCAAAATCCATTGAGCCGTTCAGGAGATACCTTCAAACAAACATCCATCCATCCATCTATCTAAACGTTCGTATTTATAATATTAGTAAGATTAATAAACATAGAATAAACAATATGAATAATGTAATTTATTTCAAATATCACATTCTGAATTCTTGGATAAATTCTACAGAGTAATATAAAATGTGTGTATAATTCATTTAAACTTTATCACAGTAAAATCTCAGCATCCATCAAATTTAATCCTGAATGGATTTTGTTACAATGACAGCTTCACTGCTATCATAAACTTGGGATATTCCGACTTAAGGTTGTTTTAGAAATATAATAAAAGTTAGACTTTAGAGCGATGACAAGTAGAGCGTCGGTGTCTCAGGGGTCAAGCACTTGACTTGTAATCCGCAGGTCCTGGGTTCGAATCCCGCCATGTACCAATGTGTTTTTCGATTTCCGATTTACAAATGTACATTTATCCGACATTCTTACGGTGAAGGAAAACATCGTGATGCAACCTGCACATATCTGAGTGGAAATCCAAAGGTATGTGTGAAGTCAACCAACCTGCAGTGGGCCAGCGTGGTTGACTATGGTCTAATCACCCTTAACTTAGGGTAGGCTCCGAAAAAAACAACTAACAAAAATATTTGAAAAAATCTATAATGTCATATTTTCGAACCTTATCTTTAATTAAGTAAAAATAACATTTAAAGTATGTATTTAAATTTTTATTTGAACTTAATGTTAGGAAGAAAATCAGAAAATGTGCCAGTGTGCTGACGCAACACTAGCCTCACTAAAATGTCGACGTTTATGTCCCCTCACTAATCATTCTGACACTGGACATTATAACGAAAGCACGTCATTCGCGCCAAAGGATTCTAACTAATACCGTCTAAAAATACATATTTTAAAGGATTTGTTTGTTTGTTTGTGTGCATTGAATAAGCTCCAAAACTACTAAACCGATTTGAAAAATTCTTTCACTATAGGAAAGCTTTACCTCCCGATGACATAGGATATAGTAATTATAATATAATATTATTTTTTTTAATTTGCGAGCAACTGGGATCGAAAAAATCCTAAGTATTATTTGATTTTTGCAAGATAACACTGAAAAGAGAGTTGAATTACATTTATATTAAAGCTATTCATGTTGACCTTTAAACTTTAAGTTAATCTCAGATTACAAACTCGATATTGGCTTTCGATCTATTCTAACTTGATCAAGTTAAGTAAATATTAAGTAAATTTTAAAGCAGACATATAAAATGGATTTCACTATTGAAAAATTACACATTATTCAATGTAAGCTGTTATAATGAGATATTTGACCTTGAAAATGTTTTAGAAAATAGTGTACATTTTTTTTGCAAACAGAGAAAGTATATGTCCGTATATAATATTCAATGATTGCTAATTTTTTGGAGTTATAGGATCATAAAGACCATAATTCGAATTAGAAAAAAAGGAACATACTGTATCACTCAATTTGTTGAATCAAATTTAATTAAACAGTGTCTAAATAATTTTTTTTTGGAGCAAAACAGAAAGTTTTTTAGTAGGATTTTAATCTTGTTTTAGAGAAGAAAATGCAATTTACAATATTACGTTGCGAAGATTGCAAGCTGGGATGAATGTCGCTTCACTTATCTCCAGTACGTGCTTCTCATAGATTCCGTGCTTCTTTATAACATTAATGGATAAGTATTAAAGCTTATGTAAGGATTAATTTAATAAAATTACTATTTTTAAGTTCTATGAAGTTTAATTAAGATAAGATTAAGCCATGTTCTTTTGTTTTCTTACTGAATAACACCAATAATGTAGTCCTCTTTCCCTTCCCACACCTTACTAGGGTAGAAGATGTTCATCATCAGCTCACTATACGTCCGCACTGAGAGGCTCAGAGTCTTCCCTAAGTTAGGGGTTGATTACATACATATCTTTGAATTTCTTCAGATATTTTCTTCACCGTAAGAACGCCGGATAAATATACGAGTACATATATTAATCGAAAACCACATTGGTACATGTCGGGATTCGGACCCAGGACCTGGAGATTGCAAATCAAGTGCTTAACCCCTGAGCCACCGACTCTCTGTATTGAGAAAAAG